CAGCTGGGCATCTCTTAAAAACTTGTCAATTATAAACTTGAAGGTGTACGCTTAGAACCAAAAACTTTGGACACTGGTAGTTCTCATCTAGAAATGCTCCTGCTGTGCCCTCGTTTCACTGATAGGTTTGGGGGAGCTGGACCTTCCTTAAAAGAGGCCCCAGATTTCTGTGGCCAGAGCTACTTCCCCTTCCTCTATGTCCCCCTGCTAAGAACACAGGGCTTAGGGATGGAGAGATGGCTCAGTGGTCAATGCTTGCTGCTCTTGGAGAGGACCTGGGTTCAGTTCCCAGCACCCGCATGGTGACTCACAACTGTTTGTAACTCCACTTCCAGGGATTCTGTTGCCCTCTTCTGGCCTCCACAGGCAGTAGACACACATGGTGCACATACATATATGCAGGTAAACACTCATACACATAAAATAAAAATAACTAAATATTTTTTTGAAAAAAAGAGTGCTTATCACTTTTATCCACAGTAGTATTTCACTTAGTATGCCCTGTCTCTACTGCTACATTGTAAAGCTTATAGGAGGGAACAGTGTTTTCAGTGAGCAACAAAATGAACATATTTTAGCTACTTTGGTGCTTCTAGTAGCATCTTTAGGTGAACTAGTAATTATATAAAAGAAAACTCATTCTAAAAAGAGAAGAATGAAATAGTCAAGGTAAAACCTGGCTATTTTATACAACCAAGTTTAGTCATAACTTTATACAAGACAGTGTAGGCTGTGGAATTCCTCTAATAACGAGTCCTCACCAGATAGATTAGCAAATGAAGCCTTAAATCAACTAAGGTCTTATAGGTACTTACTTAGTGGCTTCATGTTGGTACTTTTGTTCCGAAAATGGTTGAAACTAAGCTTTATATTATAGACTTCATGTGCCATGGCTGCAGAAATCAAAGCCTCCTGTCGACATTGCCAGGACCAGTGAAAACAGACTTGGAACTATTTTACCAATTCTAATTCTCAGTTTCCACACTGTATGATTGCCAAAGAACTACGGTTTTAGAGAATATTTTTTCTGTCCTAATTACTGGACTTCTGTAGTAGCTAAAAACATTGTAGTGTCCAGGAATGCTTTGCAACATCATAGATCACACTGCACTAACCACAATGAGAGCAAGGCCTCCGGCCTACAGATTCTGACTTCTTGCATTCAAATTTCTGTTCCTCTGCTTTACTGGCTATGCGACCTTGGGCACATTGCTAAACTTCTGTGCCTCTATTTTCTCATTTGTATGGTGAGCTTGATAATAGCAACTTCATGCAGTTGTTAAGAAAAATGAATTAGTTCATGCTTAGGGCATTTCTGGAACACTAGCCATTACGATATGTTAGCTTGTATAGGATATCAAATGCCTTGAGCCATCTATATTCAGTCAGGAGTTTCTTTTTGTTGGTAAGGGGAATGTTTCCTGAAAACTTTCCCTGAGATATCATAATAAAGATAATTTTGGAGGTAAAATTTCAGTGGAATTTGGAAGGTATGGCCATGTCAATATTGGCTATGAGGCCCTTCCAGATAAGAAGAAATGGTGTGAGTCATTGTTCTCTAGTGGGAAGACACCTGGGTTTGTTCCAGGCACAGGAAGTGACTCATTGAGGTGTCAGGTGCTCCCTGGGGAGAAGTCAGATTCATTAAGAATGGAGATTTGGGGGTCCTTGAGATGGCAGGCCTAGGAGTTTGGAGGGAACCTGTGGGTATGGAGATCTCCTTGGCAGCTAGGTAGAGAGGAAGGGTTAGAGACGGGGAGAGTCAAGCAGTTGGGAAAAGCATTAGGAAAGCAGTTGGGAGGCTGCTAGAGAGAATTGGGGTAGCACTGATAAGACTTTAGAATTGAGGTGGGAGTCAAAGTTTCAGTGTAGGTAAATCCCACTGACAGATACAGTGAACTCTAGGGAAGGATAAATTTGGGTTGGAAGGCTAGGACTTCAGTACTGTGATTGCCAGTTTCAGTCCAGATAGGGAAACCCAAGAAAGCACCTCCTTTTCCCTTTCAGAACTGGAAGTCCGGCAAAGAATTGAGTACTAGTATAGGTAGAAATTTGGAGTCATTTCCACATGTGCAATAGTTAGTGATGTGGGAACATGTTGTTAGCCCAGTGAAACTGGATGTACAGACTCAACAGAGATGGTCCATTTCTTAGATGTGACTTCTAAGGCCATAAAGTGCTGGGTGTAAGAATTCATCTCATTCACTGTGTGAGTCACCAGGTGAGTTGCTCAGAGCTGCTCCTTTATTTCCTCTGGTTTCTGGTTTGTAAGCTGTTCATTCACAAAAGAGGAACTTCCTATTTCTTTTTTCCTCACCAAACACTGATGAGTAGTGACTCTCCTTTAATACTGGGGAGAACTAGGCTCAAATTTTGAAATTTAAAGATTCATTGAAAAATGTATGTATTTTATATGACCAGGTTAGAAGACAGACACCCTAAAGGCAAATGATATAACTTTAAATTTGAAAAATTTTAAGACCCAAATGTTTTATAACCCTGCATTTCGTGTGTGGTTTTCAATGGGTATAAAAATACTCCATGGGTGTGTGGGTGGTTTCTCGTGTTTTGGATAACGGTAAGAATGTGAGATGCTGAGTTTTGGGTTCTGTGATGAGAGCTATAATTACTAACTGATGCCTTCCTGGGATGGTTCATGGGTGGGTATCAAGTGTCTAGAAATCCATCAAGCCAGAATCCACAACAGCAACCCAGCCCCTGTTTTCCTCCTGGAAAAGAGTGATTGTGATGGACAGTAGAAGGAACAGAGGATTGGGTCTTGCCGTGCCTGCTCTCCTTTCATGCTGTGCTCTGGCCACTCAGGTCTGTGATATGACAGAAGTGAAGGCTGGTGTGATAGCTTCTCCTATCCTGGTGCCAGCAGCCACCACACAGCTGTGGTGGAAACATTTCTAAATATAATTTAGGGCTTGCTTCAAATGCCCTTCCCCCAAGACTTAGCGGATGTGGTAAACACCCTAAAAATACCTATGGTCTGAACCTTTGAGGTATCTGAGAAGAAGGGGCAGGCACAAGGACGGGGGCCAGAAGTCCAGTGCTCTTGGAAGGCCCACTTGTCCTCCGGGACTGCTGCCCACTGGGCCTGCCCCCGAAGCTGTATGGTATGCTGTGGCTCATGCTATCCTGTCCAAGGATAAGTGCTTGCTCTCTGGTCTCGTATTTACTGTTGGCAGGTTTCAAGAAAACTATTCATAGAATGGACATCTGTTCTCTGTCCCATTGACCTCAAACCTCAGCTGCCATCATGGTATTCAGGCAGTGGACTGGGTTTTAGTTTTATTTCATAAAATCAGAATTTTAGAGCTGATATGGACTTTAGACAATCTGGTATTCATAAAACCACTAAGATCTATTAATCACAAAATTTATGAAGTCATATTTCTGTACCTTTGTGTTAACCATAGAAAGTTGAACATGGAGCCTATCTATGGCTAAGTCACACTCATAATTACACAATGTAAAATAGGAGGATAATGAAAACAATCCTTTAAAATCATTGATTAAGTGATGATCTTGTGCAAAGTCTTTTCTTTTTTACATAAAAAAATGAAACTACAACTGGGCATGATGCTGTAAGCCTTTAATCCCAGCACTCAGGAGGCGGAGAAAGGTGAATCTCTGAGACCAGCCTAGTCTACATAGGAAGTTCCAGGCCACAAGGAGACTCTGTCTCAAACAAACAAACAAACAAATGAGACTGTCTAAAACAAACAAATCAAACCCCAAAAGCAGTAATAGCTGGAGAGAAATGCCTGTCACATAAACACGAAGACCTGAACCCCAGTACCCCTGTAAAAATTCAGGTGTGGCAGTATGTACTTGTAATCCTAGTGTTGGAGGGCAGAGACAAGTGGATCCCTGAAGTTCATTGGCCTGACAACATAGCCTAATCATTGAGCTTTAGGTTCAGTGATAGATCCAGTCTCAAAAATAAGGTGAAAGCAATTAAGGAAGCCAACTGGAATGGACCTCAAGCCTCCACACACCTTGCATACACGTGAATTGAATGCACATCCACATATACTGCACAAACCCCACAAACAAGTACAAACACACACACACACACACACACACACACACACACACACCATATAGTAAATAATAAATGAATCAAATTGTGAGGTTTGTTTCCTCACTTAAATTCTGATATCTTGAATGAAAAATTTATTGGTGACACAGTCAGAACACCATCAGTCTTGCCTTCCAGAAGGCTTTCAGTGTCCAGCTTCTGGACTTGAAAAGGGTAACTAAGGTACAATAATTGAAAGGTCACAAGTGAGCTCTTTCTCAGGAAAGAAAAGCTTCACAATTGATCTCTAATGCCCATGAGATGCTTGTGGAAGCAGTCAGCACTGCCGTAAAATGGAATAAGCCACTCAACTCCAATGGGGAACTGCCTTATTCTGGTCTCTACCAGTTCAATCTGAGGCAGTCCTGTGCATGCTGAGCCTGTGCAAAGAAACCCTACTAAGCCTGAACCGTAAATGGAGGAGATAGAACCAGTCTGTGTGTTGAGACGTTTTAAATACATTGCATTATGGGAGCTACAACATTGCCTTAATTGTGACCCTATATGTCCTCTACTGTGAGCTTCTCAAAGCTCTTTTATGTATCTAGAAGAGTATTTGTTTTGTTTGTAAGTATAGAAAATAAATGAAAAGTTTTCTTGAATGATGGACATTATTAAACTTTTTTTTAAACATCACATAGCACATATCTGAACTAGCCACTTCTACGAAGCTCCTATTTCCCGGAACCAGTACACTTAAAGCAAGAGATGAAGCACTGTGGGAGGTCGTCTGCTTTGGGAGGGCGGCTGTAGAAGGAGCAGGCTTTGGACTTGGCAGTGTCCTCTGTGTTAGTCAAGGAGGGCATGGGCACCGGGACGTCTCTTCACACATGTCACAAGGGGTGGAAGCGGGGAGGTAATGTCTAGGGTGGTTTGTGGCCTCTCAAATGTTTCTTCTCCAAAATTCCAGAATGAAGACCTTCGAAACTTGTCCCTTTCTGGCCATGTTGGATTTGACAGTTTGCCTGACCAGCTGGTCAACAAGTCCACTTCTCAAGGATTCTGTTTCAACATCCTGTGTGTGGGTAAGTGCTGTTGCACAGCAAGGCATCCAACCCTTAGACAGGGCCATACTTCGGGAAGGAGGAGGTTTATTCCTTTTTTTCTGCCAGTGTAGTAAGGCAGTGATTGCGCTACATATGTGACACTGCTGTAAAGATTCAGAGTGACATCTCATAAGTGCTTTGTAAATTTTGTGGTATTACTCAAATTGTTCTTTTTATTTCTATTATGTGGTCAGGCAACTGGCCAGTATTTGTTGTTGTTTGTTTTTTGAGACAGAGTCTCCCTGTAATCCCAATTGGCCTGGAACTTGCTATGGAGACCAGGCTGATCTACGTCTCAGAGATCACCTGCCTCTGCCTCCACCTCCCAAGTGCTGGGATTAAAGGCATGCACCAACAAATCCAGCAACTGGCCAGTTTTTTATTGTTATTAAAACATTCATTGTAGTTTTTCATAGGGAGAAGGACTTGGATCCTAGTTATAATTTGCCTTCAATTGCTATGACAAAACACTCTGATCAGTACCAACTTGGGGAGGAAAGGGTTTATTTTGTTTATGTCTCCTTGGTTCATCACTAAGGGAGCTCAAGGTAGGAACTCAGGGCTGGAACCTGGGGGCAGGAGCTGAAGCACAGGCCATGGAGGAATGCTGCCTAGTGATTTGCTCCCCTGGCCTGTGCTCAGCCTGCTTTCTTATGCAACACAGGCCCACTGCCCAGGGGTGGCACCACCCACAGTGGGCTGGGCCCTCCCACATCACTCAACAATCAAGAAAATGTCCCACAGACATGGCCATAGGCCAATCTGATGGAGATAATTCCTCAATTGAGATTCCTTCTTTGAGGTATGTCTGGGTTTGTGTCAAGTCAATAAAAAACTAACTAGCACATACTATAACCTGGAATTTGCAGTTCCCCAATTGAGACTCCCTCTGTCCAGGTGTGTCAAGTTGACAACTAAAGGTATCCAGCACAGGCCTTAGCTAGACTACAGGAAGTTAAAAGTAAAAACATTTAAAAACCTTTTAATAATGCCTTCTACATATTACTACAATATAATAGCAACCTTCCCTGAAGTCTTCTAAAGATACGTTAAGTCAGTAAAATCTAAAACAACTCTGACTGCTTCAGTAAACTTACAGTGTTTAAAACTTTTTCTCTTAGGACCAAAAGAAATAAATAGAATTCTCTTTTATATCTGAAATAAATTAACCTTTCTTTAAATTGCAGTCTAAAGTTGACCTTAGTTTATTCCTGATAGACAAATGGAAAAGTCCAGAGACCTGACTTGAACCTTCAGTGTAACTTATTCATATCCCTCAAATGTTCTGCCTTAGCCTAGGTCACCTTTGGCCTGGAGGTTTTTCCTTCCTTTCTCTAGCTCTATCCTTTCTGAACTAAGAAAAAGAAGGTGGAAAAGAAGGATGAAAAGGATGAGAATCAAACCGTAAATCTCCGGTTAACTTGGAGAAATGTCCCTGAAACACCCTCCTTGTCATACTGGTAAATGACTAGGCTCTGCAGCCATGAGGTTGTTTGGGCTGTTGTGTTTTGTTGCCGTAGTCTGCTCTGCACATCCTTCAGAATCACTTTGAGACAGACTGAAGCATTTCTGTGTGGCTAGGTAGACCAAGTTTACTACTTCTAAACTTGACAGAATGTGCTGGGTTGATTTTCCTTGTCCAAGTAAAATGGTGTATGCTTAGAAGGGTGTGCCGTCATTGTGAGGAGCATCCCAACTTTAGGAATCCAACAGGTAGATGGGATTGAGGTAAATGTTTTCCTTCCTTAGGAACCTGTTGCATGTATCCTGTGTGCTGGGCATATGAAAGTCAATAATGTAGAAAGTGACAGTTGGCCAGCACCCTGGGCCAGCTTGTTCTCTGGCACCGTGTCTTCAGCCCAGGGTAAGAGAGTGACTGGAGAGATGTGGTCAAAGCAGCCAACTCTCATGCTTCCCTTTCTCCCTGCATGAAAACAACTTGAAATTCAACAGGGCCCTCCTGATACAGCTCTACTCTACAGAAGGGGATAAAGGAGTTGTCACAGAGTGGGGCGTTTCTTCATTAGAGTAGCAATTTGTTGGTTTTCTATTCAAAAGCGTGCTAAATTGTAACTCTGGGCCAATTACTGTTCTGACTTCTCTTCCAGGCCTCCCTGGCTCTCTTTCCAAAATTAACTTCATGAATTTATCTGAGAGCCTTATCTTGCCTTGTATACTGTAGTGGAGAATCTTCCAGTGGGATTGGACTTGCTGGAAGGGCAGTATCTAACTGGGTATGGGGCTTGCAGTGGCTGACCCCTCATGTTAACTACCACATTTTTTATGTTAGCTGGATTTCCTCATAAGTATGTTCATGATCAGATTTACAAAGGGCAGCAGCTTTGCTATTGTCCTGGATGAGCAATAATACCTGTGCGATTCTCCTATGCATGTTCTGCCTCCATCTGTGATTGCAGCTTTTCAAAGTAATTAACATAATAGATGCTTATTGTTGAAAAGTTAAAAGCCTACCTCAATTTGTGTTCCACAGAGATAATAACCCTGGGATGCTTCTAGAAGCTTTCCACATCTTTCTGTAGTGGGAAATTATATCTGGTAGCTTGCAGCACTACCAGTATATTTCCTTGCAGCTGTGTGGGCAGAAGTCTGCATGAATCTTTGGACGGCATCACTTACAGGACCTTCAGGGAGAATGCATCCCTAACTTTTTAGCTTCAAAGGAGGCCCGTGTCGTTGGTTCTTGGATACTTCAAAGCCAGGAAAATGGGATTTCTTTGATTTTTCTTACACTGGGAAATTTTTTTCACAAAGAATTGGAGAAATCCAATTTAAATTCAGTTAGGATCATATCTGTCTGTCTGTTTGTCTGTCTGTTTGTCTGTCTGTCTGCCTGCCTGCCTGCCTGCCTACCTACCTACCTACCTACCTACCTATCTATCTGTCTATCTATCTATCTATCTATCTATCTATCTAT